TCCAACACTATAACTCAAAAGCATCAATTCTTCTACGGTCTTCCTTATTCACTGTCCAGCTTTTGCATGCATTTGAGGTTATTGAAAATACCATCTCTTGGGTCAGGCGCACCTTAGTCCTCAAGCTGACATCTTTGCTCTTTAACACTTTAAAAAGTTCATGTGCAACAGATTTGCCTAATGCAATACGTCATTTGATTTCTTGACTGCTGCTTCCATGAGTATTGATAGTTGTTGTTAGGTGCCTTCAAACTCATAACAACCTTACAAACAACAGAATGAAACACTGCCTGGTCCTGCACCATCCTCTCATTGGAGGTCTTCCTCTTTTTCTCTGATCCTCTACTGTGAGAAGCATGATGTCCCTTTCCAGTGACTGATCCCTCCTCTAACATGTCCAAAACATGTGAGTCGAAGTCTCACCATCCTGGCTTCCAAGGAGTACTCTGCCTGCACGTCTTCCAAGACAGATTTGTTTGTTCTTCTGGCAGTCTATGGAACTTTGAGTATTCTTCGCCAGCACTGTCATTCAAATATGCCAATTCGTCTACGGTCTTCCTTATTCATTGTATAACTTTCACATGCATATGGAACAACTGAAAATACCATGGCTAGAGTCAGGAAACTTGAGTCCTCAAACTGACATCTTTGCTTTTGAACACTTTAAAGAGATCTTTTGTAGCAGATTTGCTGAATATAATATATCGCTCAGTTTCTTGACTGCTGCTTCTAGAAGTGATCTAAAGTAAAATGAAATATTTGACAACTTCAATCCATTCTCCATTTCATGATGTTATTTACTGATCCAATTGTAAGGATTTTTGATAAATCATCTAATTCAGCCTTTTTAGTTTTTTTTCTATATAACATGTAACATACAACTTTCACTTTTATCTACCAGCATCTACCTCAGGAAGTATTTTTGTAAGTGCTACTATACCAACTTTTTAAAAAATGAAAGTAAATCAGCATAGCATATTTACAAAAATTGCTTAGGGAGAAGAGTGGTTGGCAAACAAACACAGAAGGCAGATGTTATTTGTCTAAAAATGCAACCACTCCTCCCTATTGACCAGCTTGTTATGTGAAACTCCTCTTCATGTGAAACTTCAGTGAACAAATACTGCGAACACTCTAGGAGTCGGAGGTGACCCCATGAGGCTGCTATCTCTCCTACAGCTGCCATCTGCTGCTTGCTTAACTCTGGGCCATGACTTCAGGAAGTCAGGACAGCTTGTGCCATTTCAAAATACATGCTGAGCTGATTCGATCAGGATTTTCAGTCAGGAGGGTGCCCACCCTTCTGGAACTGTTGTTCTCCATTGGAATGCCCACCTACCCAGGAACACTGCCCACTGCCCGAGAGCACCAACACACAAAAATGTTGCATCTCTGGATCTTCAGGGAAGAGACAGCTGTGTGTTCTGTCTGCACCTGTCAGCTTTGTATATTCTCCTCCCCAAACTGAATCTCCACTCAGAAGGGGACTGCAGGGTGGCCATTAGTCTGCGGACTTGGCCAGGATTAGGAGCGACTGCAGAGAATGTGTACAGATGAGTGTCCGAAGTCTTTGAATCTGGCCTTTTTTCTTTCTCTTTCATATTATTTTTCTCTCTTTTAACTTTATTCATAACTATGTTGGAGAGAGGGTGGGATTAGAGAATCAAAGGGGGAGGGACTCTCTCATTGAAAACACAGGGTCCTAACCTAGCTATTGGGTGATTTAAGTAGGTTTGTTATAAACACACAGTGTTATAAGTAAGGAGTTGTTGTAGTTGGAAACTATCATTTAGACATATTGTGATAGGGTCTACCACATAATTAGTTTCTTAAGAATTTAATCTTATTCTGTTCAACACCTTTCTATAATAAAATTTAGTTCTTGTTTTATGATGTTGTTGTTGTTGTTAAGTGCCGTCGAGTCAGTTCCGACCCATAGCGACCCTATACAGGGTTTCTGAGGGTGTAAATCTTTACGGAAGTAGAAAGCCTCACCTTTCTCCCGTGGAGCAGCTGGTAGTTTCGAACCGCTGATTTGCGGTTCACAGCCCGATTCGTAACCACAAAAATAACACTTCAAAGGATTCTTAGCTAAATATTCATTTCTAATGGGATGTAAATGAAGACTGTTTTAACAAATAACAGAAAACTAAAGAAGAAAGTATAAATGATTGGTAAACATATTTTTGAAGATAATTGATGCCAGGTAGAATGCTTATGATTTAATATTTGCAGAGCCAAGTAAAATAATGGAGTGGTATTAAATTCTGTAACTATGTATTTGCCTATTCATATATATACAGGCAACACGCTAGAAATAAGTGCATTACAGTATGAATATTTGTAATTATCTTTGTTTTACAAATAAGTTTATCTTTTTAAACATTCATATTTACTCTTCAAATGTTCAATAACAAGCATGTTATTTTGACAGTTAAGAAAAATATTGAATTTTATATACATTTTAAGTATTGAAATGCATGTGAAATACACTAATACCTCACTGATTGACATGGTTTGGTAGATCAGATGTTATGTAAAAATTTGCATTACATAAAAATCAAATATGACCACATTAGATCACAAAACAAAATATAGGATGACTACATCATTACATAAGGAGCTCTGGTAGCATAGTGGTTACAAGTCAGTCTGCTAATCTCACGGTCAGCAGTTTGAAACTACCAGCCATTCCATGGGAAAAAGATGAGGCTTTCTGCTCCCGTACAGATTTATAGACTCAGAAGCCTTTTACAGGGTCACTATAAGTTGGAATCAACTCTATGGCACATAACCACTACTACCATCACCGCATCATTAAATAACTGCCAAATGACATTGTTACATAACTGCCAAATGACATCATTACATAACTGCCAAATGACATCATTACATAACTGCTAGGTCACATCATACATGCCTGCTGAATTACATGATTAGATCATTGCCAACCCACTGAGACCCATGGCCTACACAAGTTGACACAGAACCTTAACAATCACAGCCAATATGACATTCACTTTGCAACTTGGTGTTCATTGCTGCCAGACGTACGCTGTTAATATGCAAGATAGCCAGAATGGTGGATTTTTTACTATTATTGTAATGGTAGATTTTTTACTACTATGTGACATGGTAGAAAACTAGATAGTGAGTGAGGAGCAAGTGCACAAAATTAAACTACATTGCCCTGTTCAATAGACAACCTTTGTCTATTGTCCTCCTATTTATTATAGTAATATTTTCTTTTAAAACAGGCATATTCTTTGACATATATGAAGGTCAGATCACAGCAATTCTGGGTCACAGTAGAGCTGGCAAGTCTTCACTCCTAAACATTCTTAATGGATTGTCTGTCCCAACAGAAGGTGAGTAAAAAGAAACAACCTGAAGGCAAACTCTCTAATAATAGAATGAGGCCATGTGGATAGCACTCATTGTAAATTTAAAAATCAACTGCTTAAAAGACAATCATGTTTGTTCAACTAAGGTAGTTACCCACAATTACATGATTCCAATATAGTTCTCAAATATGTGTCAAAACCACTGTCATATTTATCATATTTATGGGGATTGTTGTTGTTGCTAAGTGCCATTGAGTCGGTTCCGACCCATAGCGACACTGTATAGGGTTTCCAAAAAGCGGCTGGTGAGCTTGAACCACTGACCTAGTGGTTCAAGTGACTTTGCAGTCCAGTGCATTAGTTTAAGGAAAATGTGCACAACTCTAAGAACTAGTATTTAAAATCCACTGCATATGAGTCAGTTCTAACTCAGAGCAATTCCTGTAAGACAAAGCAGAAGCTGACCACCACATCTTTTTCCAGCTGCTGGTGGGTTCAAAGCACAGACTTCTTGATAAGCAGTCCAGTGTGTTAATCACTACAACACCAGATTTTCCTTCCTCTTTCCAACTTTCATATTCCAATCACCAGTAATTATCAGTGTGTCTTGATTGCATGTTTGATCAGTTTCAGACAGAAGTTGTTGTTGTTGTTAAGTGCCGTCAAGTTGGGTTCTGACCCATGGTGACCCTACATAGCGTTTCCAAAGAGCAGTTGGTGAACTTGAAACATAGGCGTCCCTGTTCAAGTGGACTTTGCAGTCCAGCACATGAACTAACAGCACCACATCAGGACTACGATAGAATGCTTCAATTTCATCATCACTGACTTCAGTGGTTGGTGTGTAAATTTGAATAATAGTGATATTAACTGGTCTGCCCTGTTGGTATATGGATATCATCCTATGACAGACAGCATTGTGCCTCAAGATGGATCTTGAAATGTTCTTTTTGACAATAAGTGTGACACCAGCCCTCTTCAGTTTTAGATGATTGTGAATATATGCTAATATTTTCTTAACTCAGATCTCTAAGAATTAACTCAATATATTGTCTTGCTACTGTTAAACATGTTTTAACTTCTATTCTTAGGATCAGTTACCATCTATAATAGAAACCTCTCTGAAATGCAAGAACTGGAAGAAATCCAAGAGATCATTGGAGTTTGTCCTCAAGTCAATGTTCAGTTTGATATACTTACTGTGAAGGAAAATCTCAGGCTGTTTGCAAAAATAAAAGGAATACAAGCACAGGAAGTAGAGAAAGAGGTAGATGTCTATGCTTGGGTTATCCTGAACTTCCAACCCTTCATGCTGTTGAATGGCCACAGAATTACCTTTGGCTATTTACTTGCTCTGCTATGAATTAAATTTAGGCAAAGAACTCCTAGACAAAGGCGCTATTGTTTTGCTGAGCAGTTAGAATTGTGAAAAATAATCATTGTGAATTTTAAGCTTTGTACATTTTCCTTGGATAGGTGCAGAGCATTTTATTGGAATTGAACATGCAAAACATCCAGGATAACCTTGCTCAACATTTAAGCGAAGGACAGAAGAGAAAGTTGACCTTCGGGATTGCCGTTTTAGGAGACCCTCGGGTAAGTGAGATTGAAAATGGAGAGGAACGCAGCTGGAATGTCAGTAAACTTCAAAGTCTTTATTTACCACTGAAAGTATTAGGACTCTTATTGGAAAACGTTCATTGTTATAATAAAAGGCAAGCAAGCAGAAGAAATTCCTTCAAGGAGAAATACTCCATTATAGAATGAGGTTGTCTGTGTGTTCCTTGTTTTAAGTTTTAAAATGATTGCACAAGAGAATGTTTTTGTTTTGTTTTTTTACCAAATACCCAAAGATTTATTATGTTCACAGATAAACTGGAATGTTTAGTTATGAACAAGTTTATTGAGGATAAGTGATTGGATAATCATTATAATTCTTTGATTATTACTATTTTCCAAGCTATCATATGAGATAATGCTCTTATGTAAGAGAACCACATGCTATACATCTTCACCCTCTGTAGGTTTTGCTGTTAGATGAACCAACTGCTGGGTTAGATCCCTTTTCCAGGCATGAAGTGTGGGACTTCCTGAAGGAACGCAAATCAGACCGCGTGATCCTCTTGAGTACAAGTTTCACCGATGAAGCTGACATTCTGGCTGGTAGTTCATGGTTTCTTTTCAGGGCTACAATCAAGAATTGGGGCCATTTAAATGTGATGTTTATTTCTAGGGCAAAAAAATCCACTCTCATATCCACTCCATATCAGTCTGGTGGGTACCAGGTGCCTAGTCCCACTGTCGGCTTCTTCACTGGCTATCCATTTGCTTAATTATGCATACTAATGAAAAAAAAATGTAATTCATCTTCAGATCAACTGTTGGTAATTTAAACATCCACATCTTTATTAACAACCAGAGTAAAGAATCTACCCAGGTCATTTGTTTTTTTAAAGAATATGGGGGCACAGAAATGGACAGGAGTTCATGAGCTCACATGGAAGCATCGATTTTCATGTGTATTTTATAAGATACATTTAAATATAGTTATACTCCATAGAACACTCTGGAAGTCTGAGCTTGGATGTCTCACCTACATTTTCTACAAAGGAAAGAGATGGTCTCTCCTCAATTGATTCTCTCTTCTAGACAGAAAAGTGATCATGTCCGATGGGAGACTGAAATGTGCGGGCTCTTCGCTCTTTTTGAAGAGAAAATGGGGTCTTGGATATCACTTAAGGTACAGACTTTGGGGACAGGCTGGATATGTATGTTTTCAAAATTGATTTATCAAAAAAATAGGGAATTTCTATATTAACTGAATGAGAAGGGACCTTGTACTTCATCTCTGCCATACTGGATTGATGTTGCTGTTGTGAAGTGTTGTCGAGTTAGATCCGACCCATAGTGAGTGACCTTGTATAGACTTCTGAGGAGCAGCTGGTGAGCTTGAACTGCCATACTGGATTGAGAGTGTTTCCCAAATGCTTTTCCTGCCTTTCTATCACCTTAGAAATTCAGGAATTCCAATGATAGACAACATCTCAGCATTATAAAGCCTGACTGTTCACAGCAGAATTCTATGTTACTGTTGTTAAGTGCCATTGAGTCAGTTCCAGCCTACAGCAACACAGTACAGGGTTTCCTAGGAGCTGCTGGTGAACTTGAACTGCCGACCTTCTGGTTCAAACCAACTTAGCAGTCCAGCGCATTAACCCACGGTGCCATTTTCCAGGTAGCTGCTCGGTGCAGCCTAAACCTTCATTTTTCCATTCCCCCTAAAATTCCCCACAGATCCAAACAATTGTGCCGTGTGGTTTCATTCTGACATAGAACATAAAGTCAAATAATTTAAAAATCTAATACCAATAGAGAGTTTAGCTGGTGGTAGAGAAGAGACAAGATCATGTGTGCCTATCAAGCAAGCAGTTGTTCAGGCTGAAAGGAATGAAAAAACAAACAAGAAAACAACTTTTGTGGCCAATCACATCACAGACATATGCCTCACTGCCCTGTTGTTGTTGTTAAGTACCATGGAGTCGGTTCCAACACATAGCAACCCTGCACAGAGTTTCCGAGGCTGTAAATCTTTACAGGAGCAGAATGCCTCATCTTTCTCTCACAGAGCCGCTGGTAGTTTCGAACTGCTAACCTTGAGCTTGGCAGCCCGACTCATAACCACTATGCCACGCCTACTGACCACTAATTTCTCATCTCTGTGGGGTCTGGTACATAATTATCTTCCCTAAGAAGTCTCTTTGCCTAAAACTTTCATTTTCTTCTGATCACCTTCACACTTGTCTTATACTTTAAATTACATTATGCATTTGTTTGTATATTTGTAACTATTGTGAGTTTACACATCTTGCATGTATAGATTATATGATTTTTCAAACCAATGACATTGATTTTATTATTATTGTCTCATTTTGTTTGTTCTATAAGGCCGAGTAAAGTAGTAGATATTCAATAACTATCCAACAATAATGACAATGGAGAAAATACAAATGACTGGTCTTCTCTTTTCAATATCAGTTTGTACAGAAATGAAACATGTGATCCAGAAAAGATAACATCCTTCATTAAACATCACATCCCTGATGCTACATTAAAAACAGAAAGCAAAGACAAGCTTGTGTACACATTACCTTTGCAAAGGACCAGTGTGTTTCCAGGTAACTTAAGTATGATGGTAATGGAATGGAATTTGAGAATAAATACTTAACGTTGGTACTATAGTCTTTCCTGTCTAATGGATTTGGATTTTGTCATATGTTGCGTTTCCTGAGATGAGGATTTGGGTAGTTCACTGGAAACACTGGCAGTGAGATGGGGCATGAGTCAATGCGGGGAAGGAGGAAGCCAAGAAGTTTACATTATAGAACAGACTACAGTAGTGAGCAAGTGGAGCTTCACCATGCTGGGGGAAATGAATGGATAAGTAAACAAGTGGGCTCAGAGTCCCGTCACTCCAGTGAGGAAGCTGGGCCAGTATTCCTTATTCATCGTGTTCATAGGATTCTTTCAGAAACATCTTTTTTTTTTTTTTTTTTTTTACCCTTCATGCTTGCTTTGGCTCAGCATGGTTCTGAGGTCAGCAAAAAAAAAAAAATCTCAGGCAGGATTCTAATAAGGACACTTGCTTTGTACAAGTGAATGCAGGAGGGATGTGGTATAGCATCCGTGGTGGCTGCTATAAGGCTACAGGTTTCTTTTTGAATTTTAATTCAATTATGTGTACATTTATCTGGTCAGTTGTTTATTTTACAGAAATGTTTACTCAACATGGCTTCCTAGTATGCAAAGCGACCTAGGTGTTGATTTCTAAGTAAATCTTGGTGCATGCTGCCAAGTGAAATCTAACTCTAGAGACCCCATGGAGTAGAGTAAAATGGGCTCATAGGATTTCCAAGCCTGTGTTCCGCACAGGAGCAAACTGCTACAACTTTCTCCCATGGAGCAGCTGGTGGGCTCAAACCTCTGATTTTTTGGTTAGCAGCTAAGTACTTTAAATCATTGTACCACAGGACTCTTTACACTGTAAGATAAGCACTGGACTGCTAACTACAAGGTTAGTGGTTCAAACTCACTAGCCACTCCTTAGAAACCCAATACAGGGTCACTATGCGTTGGAACTGATTCAATGGTACTTAACAACAACAACAGTTGCTTATTCTTTGTACAATACTTACTATGTGCTGGGCACTGTTCTAAGGAATTCGCATCGATCTATTTAATCCTCAAAACTATGCTGAGAGGTGGGTGCTATACTGACCCCTATCGTATGTAAAAGGAAATGTGTCTCATTCTCCAATAATTTCAACATTTAGTTTATCCAAAGTTCAACAGTCCTGATTTAAACAGGCCCTCATGGATGCCTTAGTCTTTAGGCAAATCTTCAGGCATGTAGACTTCATATCAAGGGGTCCATGGGCTAGCCTGTGCCTGTGTTACTTTGTCCCTTAGACTGATGCCTAAGGAAATACAACTGGCCCACCTTCCTTTTGAGTTGGGAAGGGGACATAGGGAGTTAGTTGTATGCTGGTACCACCACTGGAATATGTCACTTAGCCAAAGTCCTGGTGTGAACATGGCAGCTCATAGCAGTGTCTACAAGTGCAATGTATCTCCTGACCAGGATTTAAGGGTGTTCCCATATGCAGGCTATGGGCAAATGGTGCTGCTATAGATTCACCTTCTCAGTCTTCTCAGTAATGTTGGAGGGGTTCTGCCACTGGCTATAGAAAGTGGCATGTAAGAAGCTTCTACTGTAAGCTTATATGTTGCTATTGTTAGGTGCCGTCGAGTCAGTTCTGACTCATAGCGACCTTATGCACAACAGAATGAAACACTGCCTGATCCTAGGCCAACTTCACTACTGTTGCCACGCTTGAGCCCATAGATGCTGCCACTTGGCCACTCCATCTCGCTGGGGGTCTTATTACTCATCCAAATATCCCAAACGTTTATTGGAAGCCTGTTATATAAACAGCACTGAGGATACAACAAGGTCTCTAGGTGGTGCAAATGCTTTGTACTCAACTGCTAACCTAAGGTTGGCAGTTCAGACTCACTCATTGGTGCCATGGTAAAGAGGTCTAGCTATCTGTGGGAAGAAATGGTGGAAGAGCTCCATATCATCAGCCAAAACAAGGCCAGGAGAAGACTGTGGAATAGACCATTAATTGCTCATATGCAAGTTCAGGCTGAAGCTGGAGAAAATTAAAACAACACCACAAGAGCCAAAATATGACTTTGAATATGTCCCACCTGAATTTAGAGGTCATCTTAAGCACAGATTTGATGCATTAGACACTAAATGACCGAAGACTAGAAGAGTTGTGGGATGACATCATAAACATCATACAGGAAGAAAATTTTTAAAAATCATTAAAAACCAAGGACAGAAAGAAAAGACAAAAATAGATGTCCCAAGAGACTCTGAAGCTTGTTCTTAAGCACAGAGAAGCTAAAGCACATGGCGGAAATGAAGCAAAAGAGCTGAGCAGAAAAATTCAAATGGAAACTCAAGAAGACAGAGCAAAGTATTATAATGAAATTTGCAAAGACCTGGAGTTAGAAAACAAAAAGGGAAGGACACGCTCAGCATTTCACAAGCTAAAAGAACTGGAGAAAAAAATTCAACCCTTGACTTGAACTATTGAAGAATGGCATGGCACTGTAGGATAAGCACTGGATTGCTTACTGCAAGGTTGAAGGTTCAAACCCACCAGCCATTATTCAGAAACCCTATACAGGGTTGCCATGAGTTGGTACAGACTCCACAACACTTAATAACAATAACAAATGGGCAAAATATTGAATGGTACAGAAAGCATAAACTTAAAAAATGAAAGAAACACATGGTACCAAAAAGAAATGGTTGATGTTCAACCATTTCAAGAGGTAGCATAGGATCAAGAATCAATACTAATGAAGGAATAGGTTCAATGTGCAATGAAGACATTGGGGAAAAACAAGGCTTCAGAAACTGATGGACTAAAAATACAAATTGAAATCTATCAACAAACTGATGCAGCACTGGAGGTACCCATTCATCTATGCCAAGAAATTGGAAAGACAGCTACCTAGTCAACTGATTGGAAGAGTTCCATATCTCTGTCCATGCCAAAGAGAGATGACCCAACAAAGTACAGAAATTATCAAACAATATCTTTAACATCACATGCAAGTAAAATTTTGCTAAAGATAATTTAAAAACAGTTGCAATAGTACATTGACAGGCAATGTCAGAAATTCAAACCAGATTTAGAAGAGAACATGGGATGAGGGCTATCATTGGTGTCCTATGCATCTTACTAGTAGTAGAGAGTAACAGAAAGAGTTTACTTGTGCTTTGTTGAATATGTAAAGGCTTTCAACTGTGTAGATCGTGACCAACTATGGACAACATTGTAAAGAATGGATATTCCAGACAACTTAATTGTGTTCATGAGGAACCTGCACACAGATCCAGAAGCAGTTGTTAGAACAGAACAAGAGGATATTAACAGGTTTAAAATCAAGAAACGTGTGCACCAAGGTTGTATCCTTTCACCATATTTATGCAAACTGTATGCTAAGCAAATAATTTGAGAAGCTGGATTGTATGAAGAAGAACATGGCATTATCATTGGAGGAAGGGTCATTAACAACTGTAATATGCAGATGATAGTGAAGAGAACTTAAAATATTTACTGATGAATATCAAAGACTACAGCCGTTAGTATGAATTGCACTTCAATTAAAAAAAAAAAAAAAAAAGCACACCAAAATTCTTACAAATAGGCCAGTAGACGACATAATGATAAATGGAGAAAAGATTTATCATCTCTTTCCATAAAGATTACAACAAACAAAATGGAGCTGTTCTACTGTGTCACATGGGGTGGCCATGAGGTGGAATCAACTCTATGACAACAAACAACAACAACAGGAATACATTATTAAGTAAGACATATGTGCCCCTATCCTCACGGAGATTTTGAGTGGGAGAAGTGGATACACAAACCTGCATCCCTGTTTTGGCATACATAGGGGATCACTCCAGGAATAAAGTCTGTGAGATGGTGAGAGGGGATGGGATTCAGATCCCAGTGAAAAGGCTCTTAACAGGAGCAGACGTGAGTCTCTCATCGGTACAGGAAGGGAGACTGGGAATTTGGATGAGATACAAGTGTATTTTCAGTGTGATGCTAAGAGGATGATGCTCTTCTGATTGGTCATGTTTCCTCAGAATATTTGCAGGAAGTTCATGAGCTGAGACTAGAAGATGCTGTGCAAACGATTTGATTAGAGAGAGACAGAGGTCCAAAATAATGATCTCAGAGTGAGAGAATTCTAATGAAATGTTGCTTTTGATTAATATGATATTTTAAATACATACACTTTTTTTTCGGAATGATTTTCTGCATCTTCTTTTCAGCAAGTGTTCATTTGTCAGTTTTAGCTACTTGTATGCTTTGGTGTTTTCAATCCTACCTTTAATTGCCTGTCGTCTTAGATCTTTTCAGTGACCTAGATAGATGCTCTGACCAAGGGGTGGTGAATTATGATGTTTCCATGTCAACTCTAAATGAAGTCTTGATGAAACTGGAAGGGCAATCAGCTGTGACGCAAGGTAAAAACTGTGTGTGTAATTCATTAATTCATAGAACATCAATCCCCAGGTGATCCTGTATTATTTAATATTTATAATTTATAAAGTATGATTTAGACAGAGGAATGTGATGAATTCTAAATTTGGTTCTGGGAAGCACTGCCACTGTTTATTGAACATCTTACTAGTGTACACACAGATTACTACTTGGAATATAGTGAAATTCTCTTTCGAAGCTCTCTGTCTCCAACTTCCGTAGTTTTCTCGTACCCTACAGATGCTCCCTGCTTGGAGGGTACTTGGAGGCTGGGAAAAAGTTCTTCATTCATGTCACAAGGTCTGAATAGATATTTCTTAGAAAATTGCTCTTATAGCTTGTTAATATGTGACACTTTTGGATAAGCACTAGACTGCTGTGATTCAAACCCACCAGCCCCTCCTTGGAAACCCTATACAGGGTTGCTATGAGTTGGAACCAACTTGACGGCACTTAATAATAATAACAACAAAGGTATTAATGGGAAGAAAGCTTGGAATTAGCCCCTGAATATTTTTATGGTGATCATAATAACAGCTCCCATAATAGTGTCCTTGTTCAATAAGCTTAATGACAAAATATACTGGATTCACGCCAAAATAAGAAGAATTCGCCTAAAATCAATCTCATCAAATTCCAGTCTTTGAAAGGGAATAGAAAATCCCACCTAAAACTATATTCTGAGGGATTTTAAGAAATCTTCCCTGAGAAATAGTTCATTATAAATGCCTTGATGTCTACTCTGAGAAGTACATATGTTAAATTTCTTTTCTACAATAAACTTTCCAGCATATGTCCTTGCATCATTTTACAGATGAATCAGACCTAAGCATGGTTACATGACCTCCCTGTAAGAGTTATTTGCTTACAGGTCTGCTGGTTTCAGAACTGGTGATATTTTATTGACACTACTATATTACTGACACTTTTTAATAGTAGACATTTAAGCATTTATGATAGACCCTTTCTATAATAGCACTGTAGAATAAGCACTGGGCAGCAAAGCAAAATGTCAGCAGTTCTAACCCACCAGCTGCTTCTTAGGAGAAAGATGAGGCTTTCTGCTCCTGTAAAGGTTTACAGCCTCGGAAACCCTGTACAAGGTCTTGTTGTCAGAATTGGCTCTATAGCAGTGGGTTAGGTTATTTCTATGGCAAAGATTTCTTGGAATCCCTTAGAATATTGTTGTATGTGAGATTTTCTATTCCTTCACAAAGACTGAGTAAAATGAGATCGTTGTCCAGTAAATTCTTTCTCCCCCCTGCCCCCCATACATATCAATCATTTTTATTCTACGCCCAGGCAGTAGGGTTGGTTTGGGGGTGTAGAGGAATGTTAGCAAAGTGAGTGAAAGAGAGAAGGAATGTCCCTGTGAAGAAATGTAGATTTCCAGGTGTGAGATTCAGCCACCTGGAAACCAGAGTCTGCTCACTGCATGGTGAGGTGAATCCAATGCTAACACCCACCCTGGTGCCCATGTCCGAGGTGAGGGACAGCTGTCTCTGAGAAAGCTCTGTGGATTCAATGTTACTTTGCAATCCAGAAGCAGCATTTGCTCCACCGGTCCAGACTCCTGGACCCAGAGCCTGCAACAGCATGCAGCATTCCCTTCAGTCAATTCTTATTTGGGGCATGAATCCAAGATATTTGATCACTATGTTTACTGAATAAAGACACCGTAGACATATTTGTTTCTTATGTTGCCTGCATTGTAACTACCAACATTCTAAAGCAATCGTTAATGTTACTAAAAAGAGAGAGTGTGATACCTCAGGATTGCATTCATACTGTTTGTGTGTGTGTGTAGATTTTGAACAAGCAGAGGTGACAGGAGATCCTGGAAGTCTACAAGAAATGGAGCTGGCGTGCTCTTCTCTCTCTTCAATGCAGAAGACTAGTAGTGACATGGCTCTCTGGAGACAGCAAGTCTGTGCAATTGCATGGCTCCGTTTCTTAAAGCTAAAACGTGGAAAGAGAACACTTCTAACCCTGTGAGTACCAGAGGGCTTTGGTTTTATGAGACCCTGAGTTTGTAAGTGAGGCTGAAGCCAGAAAGTAGAGCACGTTGCCCAACATTCCTGCCAAGAGATAAGGGCTTCGAACCAGTTCATCCCAATCAGAATCTACCAAAAGTTCATGGGGGAAAAAAATGCAAAGGAAAGATCATGGAATTCTCCCACAAACTTTCTGAAGCCCCGTCACATACACTGAATCAGAACCAATATTCGAACAAGTTCCCCCAGATGATTTTTATAGATTTCTAGATTTTATTAGAAGATTTTATGTAAGAATTGCCTAGGGATCATGTTAAAACCTAGATTCTGATTTAGGATTTTGATTCTGATCCAGCATATAGATCTGACTCAACGTATCTGGGGTGAAAATGCCAGTTCTCAGTACGGGCTTGAACTGGAATGAAGTAATTTCAAAGCCTCGATTTTACTCACAGTGACCACACCTGTATGTTAGCATTGGATTACGTTTGTACTTATGTGTGTTTCATCGTCTAATTTGGTAGCCTGCTGTTTGCTTAGTGATGCCGTTTAGTACCGTAGCACGCGGACAATTGGCTCCTAGAAATAGAAGTAAAATCAGCTCTCACCACATGTCTATGAATGACTAGGAACCCGTTAAATGGTGACCGAGTCACACAGTGATGTTTCTTTATTGTTAGACTAGTGGTACTTGGAATAGCAATGCTGCCTTTGATTGTGGAAACGATAGTTCACATCATGTTAAGTGAAAATGGCAATTTGGAATTTAAACCTGAGTTGTATTTCCTGTCTCCTGGACAACTTCCCAAGGAGCCCCATACCAGCTTACTGGTCATCAACAACACAGGTGAACTGAAAAAAAATAAAATAGAGACCCAGTCATTAATTACTTTTATTGATAAAATAATATTCTTTTGGGGAAAAAAAAAAACAAAAGCAGATCTTAAGAGAAGACAAGCTGCATCTGAGCTTCGTAAAAACAACAGGATGTAACGGTTGCTCTGATTTGGGGGGTGAAAGGTGGGACTGGCGAGATGGAAAAGAAGGAACTTGTGTCATTAGACAGCCTTGCAGAGCAGTTACCCTAGGATAACTGTAAGAGAGAAATCATCGTCTGGCTTGGCTGAGCAACTTTCTTTCTAATATATGGGAGAATTTCATTGTCCAATATTACTAATGCTATGTCCAAAGATATGTAATATCATATGCTAGTATATGTAATATGCTATTGGGTCATGGTGTGGCACTGTAGGATAAACATTGGACTGCTGACCACAAGGTCACAAGTTCAAACCCACCAGCCACTCCATGGAAATACTACACAGGATCAAAACCAACTCAATGGCTCTTACCAACAACAATAATGGGCATCAATTTACATCATGTGTGGGTTATTTAATAATTTGAGCCTTTTTTTTTTTTTTTTTTTGCTTTTAAATGACCTTCTATTATTGACTTCATGCTAGAATCAAATATTGAAGATTTTATACACTCACTGAAACATCAAAACATAGTTTTGGAAGTAGATAGCTTTCAAAATAGGAATGGCACTGAAGACGTCTCATACAATGGCGCTATCATAGTTTCGGGTAAACAGAAGGTATGTTTGTCTCTTGTTTTGACTTCTATGAAAACAACAACAAAGCCCAATAAGTGCTGCATTTGAAAAGTGCTTTAAAAAAACTACAGAAAGTTGACTCAACCAGGATACAGCAACTGGAGCCACATTTTGGTTCACTATGAAATAAAACTGAAATTTAATTAATTCTTTTTGTAAAATATTTTATACTTTCACTTTGTCCTGAACTTGATCATTTCTGCATTTGAAAGCAGCTAACTTTAATTTATTAGTCAAACAATGAATATAGTAGAACTTACAGTTATTGTACAAATATAGTTGTGAATCTAAAGAATTCTATTGTAGTGCTGTATGGAGTCCTGGTGTGGCACTGTGGGCTAATGCATCAGATTGCAAAGTTGCTTGAACTGCAAGGTCAGTGGTTCAAGCTCACCAGCTTCTCCTTGGAAACCCTATACAGGGTCGCTATAGGTAGGAATCGACTCAAAGGCACTTCAACAACAACAACTTTGTAGTGCTGTATGGAGTCCTGGTATGGTGCTATAGGATAAGCACTTGACCCCAAGGTCGGTTTGGGCCACAAGGTTGGTGGTTCAAACTTACCAGCTGCTCCTCAAAAACCCTATACACAGTCACAATGAGTTAGAACCGATTCGACGGCACTTAACAACATTAAGTGTTTTGGAGTGCGATGGCTCCGTTTGATAAGCACAGGGTTGCAAACCACAAGGTCAGCAGTTTAAGCCCCCAAGCTACTGCTCCTGCAAAGATTTTAAAGCCCTGGAAACAAGGTAGCTATGGCACTAACAACAACAACATTAGTGTTTAATTTCCAATGTTTTTATAGATTGAGAAAATACAGTAAATAGTATCTTAACAGCAACAGAGAAATCTCAGAGAAAAGTCTACTTAGTAAGTTTCACCTTGGGTGAATTAGGATAAGCAAGAAAAGGCTGTTGAAAATGCACCTAACCATAAGAGAACTCTTGAGTCTTTTTTTTTTTACAACAAAACAAACAAAGTAAGGGATCAAATGAAAGAAAGCTTCCTGTTTATTGATCCACTCAAGAGAAATAAAACAATGGAAGCCACTGATGACATTCATTGACTTCTGTCTTCCGCTGTCATTGAGTCAATTCCAACTTACAATGACCCTGTGTAGGGTTTTTGAGACTGTACATTTTCAGTACAGCAGAAAGCCTCATGTTTCTCCCACAGAGCAACTGGTGGGTTTGAACTGAAGACCTTGGCAGTCTAGCGCTTATCCTACTGTTCCACCAGGGCTCCTTATCATTGACTTAAGTTCTAACTAAACTTCAAGTGGAGTCCTAGTGTGGCACTGTTGGACAAGCACTGGACCCTGGACCATGAGGTCGCTGGACACAGGGTCGCTATGAGTTGGTAACAACTCAGTGGTGCTTAACAACAAGCTTAAAGTACAGTGAGACAAAAAATAGCCTCTTGGCATCACATTGATGCTTTCCTTGTTACTTCTCTAAGACATTATTACATGATGTTCATAATATTTGGACAAGATTGAACATAGCGATGAATCCATGAACATTTTCATTAAACACAAAGTGCATAAGCAGTGTCTTAGAAAGTGTGAGACGCTTCATTTGTGGACTGTGAGGATGTTAGGAATCTCATCTGCTTTTCAGGAGGTCAGCATTCCCTTGCTTGCCGACCATCACCTGGCAACATCTCCAATACCCGCACCACTTTCAAAGTCTGTGTGCTGAAGTGCACTCATCAGCAAAATGGGGGGAAAGGATCTAACATTAGTCACTTTAATAAGAACCCATATTGGCTGGATGTTAACACTGCTTGGTGCTTATATGCGTTGTCTCATTAAATCACTATTGTTGTTGTTGTCCAGTCTGTTTTGATACAGAGTGACCTTGTATAGAGTTTCCAAGGCTTCAAATCTTCACAAGAGCAGAAAGCCTCATCTTTCTCCTGAAGAGTGACTGGTGGGCTCGAACCGCAGAACTTGTGGTTCAAAGTCCAGTACTTAGTAAACCATTTATTATCTCTTGTCAAAGTTAGAGCTCAGAAATGTCACTTATTGTAAACACATGTGACTATAATGGGCATAAGAGTTTATATTCCCCAAACTTATCTTTGTTCTATAAGAATTAATATGATTTCTTCTGTGGTTTTATTTTGTTTTTTTATTATAAGGATTATAGATTTTCAGTGGTGTGCAATACCAAGAGGCTTCACTGCTTTCCTCTGCTTATTAATATCGTCAGCAATGGGCTACTTGGAATGTTTAATCTTACAAAATACATCCGAATCGAAAGGGGTTCAATAATAGAAGTAAGTATTGCTTTTACTCTTTCTGAACAATCAAGAATTTGGCAGGTAGACCGTATTTCCTTCATTAGCTTTTAAATTTTAATCATTCATTGTTAATTCTGCATTTTTTTTTTTTTTTTTGCTTTATCCTAATATTTTAAATAAAGTATATCTAACATAATATGATTGATTCATAGCGCCTTACCCCGGAAAGTTGGTATCAGAAAATGTTCATGAGGCGAATGCCTTTTAATATAATGTCCTATTCTCCGAGCGAGTGTTCTGAGGAGTTACACACACTGGTTGAAGAGGTGTGTTAGCGGAGACAGAGCATACCCTAACTTAGAAATCAGCAGTATTTATAACTCACCTTTAGAATATCAAGCATTTAATGTAATTTGCCAGTGGACCCTCTGTTAACTCAGTGAGAATTGGACTGGCTGCTCTGGTGCTGTAGGATTAGCACTTGACCGTAACATCAGCAATTCCAACTCACCAGCTGCTCCTCGAAAACCCCACATAGAGTCGCTCCGAGTTAGAACCGACTTGACTGCACTTAACAACAAGTGGATTGACAAAAGGAGACTGTGCCAATTCGGGGCCACCAGGTTTTCTGATTCATTCCTTCACCTACCCATGTTCTACAATGCAGGGGCCTCTGAAATTCTAGAATTCTGTGATGCAGTCGTTAACTGCTGGGCCACTCTGTTCCATGGGAAAACCATGTGACGATCTGCTTCTATAAAGATGCCAATTTTACTCTGTCCTACAGTGGAAGTCCACTGGATGATCATGTGTTTGTGTGTGTGTGTGTGCGCTTTCTTTTTGTTGTTGTTGATGTTTTATGTCAATTGATTACTGGTGGGTTTAGACAAGGGAAGCACTGTTGGACAAGAGGACCCAGTCACATCACCTCTTTCCTTTGTCCCTCCAGTCAAAAGGTAATAGGGAAACTCTAAGAAGGGCTATGTGAAGGAAACTTGCCACCACTGAGCAAGAGAGAAAGCAGAACAACGTGTGGCTAGCTTTCCTTGAGCTTTAGTATCATCATGTCGTTCCCTGTATGTATAGGATCCAAACGGACCTTGGTACCCATGACTCTTTTAGGTACCACTCCGTGACACACACCTTTCATCCTCAGTCTTCCTAACATGATGTTAATAGATTTTCTCACCTACTGGAGAAGTGGATTTATGGATGTAGCTGCCACAACCTTGAATTAAGTTAAAGAATTGAAGAATTTCTTTGAGATCAGCGATCACTCGGCTCCCCTGTAATGACATACAGATCTGTGCACTGCCTGGGTGGTGTAAGACCAGCTGCAGACAGGCGTGGGTTTTGGGGTGATGATTTAAATTTTTTGAGGATAAGTTCATTGCCATCTGTCTTATTTTCCTAGGGCTTTAGTCACAGAAATACCACAAGGAGGTCACTTTAAACTCCAGATATTGACTTCCTCACAGTTCTGGAGGCTAAAGTCCAAATCAGCATCCGGACTGTGTCAACTCCTTTCCTGAAGCTAACTTGCTTCTTGATGACAATCACATGACCGTTGTGGTCCTTAGTTTGTTTCCACTGCTACGTCTAAAATGTTCTGTGTATAACTCACAAGTGATTAAGTTCCGGACATGTTCTACTCTGGGATGGCCTCATTAACATTACAAGGAACTCCTGATCCAAACAGAAGGACATCCACATACAGAGGAATTAGGGTTCTAACACTCTGGGTTAAGTGCCCTGGTGTTTGAGGATGGTTGATGACCATGATGTTCAAACAGACCTTGCTGTCCAGTGCTACCTATTGTGTGTGTGTGTGTGTGTGTGTGTGTAGACATAATTCAGTCCATAACAACACTTAAATTTCCTTTCCATCTCTGTTCTGCTGCCAGATCTTCTCATAGCCATCACCAGATCTCCTAAAAAGACTCACTGTTCAGGTTCAGTGTTTTGTTATTCTATGCTTTGATGTCAGTTCTAACACATAGTGACCATGTGTTGGGGTTCTGAGACTGTAAATCTTTATGGGACAGAAAGTCTGCTCTTTCTCCCATGGAACAGCTGGTGGAGTAGAACCACTGACCTTGTGGTTAGCAGTTCAGTGCTTATCCTACAGCATCACATCCATAGTCTAAAGAGATAGTAACATGTTTTTGACTGTCGTGTTCTAGGAGTTGAAGCTTCGTGTAAAATGATCAGACACCATTTCCCTATGTTTTTGTTGCTGTTAAATGCCTTTGAGTCAGTTCCGACTAACAAAGCCCTGCACAGGGTTTTTCCAAGGAGTGGCTGGTGAGTTTGAATCCCTGACCTTGTGGTTCAAACCGATCCTTCTGTCCAGTGCATTATCCCACACCAGGACTTCATCACCTCCATATATAGATGTGGGTGAGCTGGATGTACATTTTGATTTTTCTGTTTCAATATTTTTACATTTCAATATTTCAAAAAGCACATTTTTTATAATTGGTGGTGGTGATGTGTGTGGAGTCGGTTCCAACTCATTGCAACCCTGAGTAAGGTTTCTGAAGGGTAAATCTATATGGGAGCAGAAAGCCTCATCTTGCTCCTGCAGAGTGGCTGGTAGTTTCGAACTGTTGACCTTGAAGTTAACAATCCGACTCTATTACGCTACCAGAGCTCCTCGTATTTATGCTTATTAGAGTTTATTTCATTTTAATAAAATGCTTTCTAGTTTACATTCCTTTTCTTGTTTGCAGAGGTATTTATCAGTGGTGACTGAGCTGCCAGAGGGATCAATATTCTTGTTTTTTATTGTGTGCAGCATTGTCCCGCACATTGCCATGAGCAGCGTCAGCGATTACAAAGTAAGAGAAACAAGAACAAATCAAAAAAAATCTAGACTTCATAATTCTAATTTCGTATGTTCAAATGTTTTCCTGAAAAACAAATGTTGAAAAATATGTTTAACTTAGATATACTTGTTGTTAGGTGCGAACACGTCTGTATAGACTCATAGTTACCATATGCACAACAGAGCAAAACACTGCCTGGTCCTGGGCCCACCTCACAGTCATTGTTGTGTTTGAGCCCACTGCTGATGCCACTGTGCCAATCCTTCTCATTGGTGGTTTTCCTTTTGCTCCAACCCTCCACTTTAACAAACACGATATCCTTCTCCAGGGACTAGTTCTTCCTGACAATATGGCCGAAGTATGAGAGACGAAGTTTGGCCATCCTGGCTTCCAGGGAGCATTCTGGCTGCATTTCTTCCAACACAGATTGGTTTGTCTTTTGGCGGTTCATGGTACTTTGAGTATTCTCCTCCAACACCATAGCTCAAATGTATCAATACTTCTACTATCTTCCTTATTCACTGTCCACCTTCCACATGCATATGAGATTATTGAAAATACCATGGCTTAGGTCAGGAGCACCTTAGTCTTCAGGCTGACATCTTTGCTCTTCAACACTTTAAACAGGTCTTGTGCAGCAGATTTGCCTAATGCAACATGTCATTTAATTTCTTGACTATTGTGTCCATGAGTGTTGATGGTTAATTGAGCAAAATGAAGTCTTTGACAACTTCAATCTGTTCTCAATTTATCGTGATATTATTTATTGGTCCAGTAGTGAGGATTTTTGTTTTCTTCACATGAAAGTGATCTTCATCAGTAGTTTAAGTCCTGTTTGCTCTCAGCAAGCAATGTTGTATATCTGTAAGTTGCAGGTTGTTAATGAGTCTTCCTCCAATCCTAATGCCACATTTTTCATCATCTAATCCAGCTCTTCAGATTATTTGCTCAGTATACAGGCTGAATAAGTATGGTGAAATAATACATCCCTGGTGCACACATTTCCTAATTTTGAACCATTCAGTGTTCCCTTTTTCTGTTTGAACAATGTCCTCTTTGTCTATGTATAGGTTCCTCGTGAGCACAATTAAATGTTTCAGAATACTGATTTTCCGCAATGTTGTCCATAGCTTGTCCATGATGCACACAATCAGAAGCCTCACGTAGTCAATAAAGCATAATAAGTAAACATCTTTCTGGTATTCTCTGCTTTCAGTCAATATCCATCTGACATCACCAGTGATCTCCCTCACTCCATGCCCTCTTCCGAATCTGGTTTGAACCTCTGGAAGTTCTTTGTCAATGTATGGTTGCAGCCATTTTTATATTATTCAATGTACCTTAGACTTCACCCTTCAGGATCATTGACTCTTGATCATATGCTATCTCTTGAAATGTTTGAACATCAACAGTTTCTTTTTGGTACATGACTCTTGTGTATTCTTTCGTATTTTCTTTTGATGCTCTCTGCAACATTCAATATTTTGTCTGTAGAATCATTTAACACTGCGTGCCGAAGTTTGAATTTTTTTCTTCAGTTTTCTCAACTTGAGAAATGCTGAGCATGTTCTTCCCTTTTGTTTTTCTAACTCCAGGTCTTTGGACATTTCATTAAAATATTTGACTTTATCTTCTTGAGTGGACCTTTGAAATTTTCTGTTCAGCACTTTTACCTCCTCACTTCTTCCATTTGCTTTAGCATCTCTGTGCTGGAGAGCAAGTTTCAGAGTCTCTTCTCACATCCATTTTGGCCATTTCCTTCTCTCTTGTTTTCTTAATGACCTTTTGCTTTCTTCCTCTATGATGTCCTTGATGTCATTCCACAACTCTTCTGGTCTTTGGTATTTAATTCATTGAATCTGTTCTCCAGACAGCCTCTAAATTCAGGTGGGATACATTCAAGGTCATATTTGGGCTCTCATGGACTTGTTTTCATTTTCTTCAGCTTTAGTCTGAATTTGCATATGAGCAATTGATGGCCTGTTCCACAGTCTGTCCCTAGCCTTGTTCTGACTGATGATATGGAGCTTTCCACCATCTCTTCCCATAGATGAAGTCAATTTGATTTGTGTGTATGCCATCTGGTGAGGTCTATGTGTATAGTTGTTTTATGCTATTTTTTTTTTCTTAAATGATTTATTGTGAATTATGTGTTATGTGATAGTTTACATGGGAGAACACTGGTTTTACATTCATTCTATCGTATATCGTCTCATTGCCATGGTTACAATCCCCTCCATGCAATCCTTCCCCCGGACCCCCCAGGTCTTCAGCACACAGTCGCTCTCCCTCTCTGGATCTAAAGTCTCCAGCTGCTCCATCACTCCACATCATCATCTCTGGCTCCATTTCAGGCATCACTGCTTCTCTGGGTAGGGTCCCGCTCTCTGCTCTTCTCCCTTGATGGTCCTAGGGACCTCCGCTCCTAGACTGAAAAGTTAATCACTCCCCTCCTTGCTATAAAATGTCTACCTTTACATTTCCGACCCTCACAATCAGTCCTGATAACAATTATTCACTATTGTATCACAAGAGATCCATCTGCATTTCATTGCATCAGCCCAGCCTAGTCAGATTGAATACTACTCACTGGAGATTCTACCTTCCTCCAGGCCCTCTGGATCTAGGTTCCCTCTTGAAAGCTTGTAAGCCAGTCACTTCTTGCCTTTGTAGCCCCCCACCTCCCATTTTGGGCAGCCCAATGTCCAAGTTGCCCATTCCTGTGTACTCTGTGTGTGGAGGGGGTGGGAATGATTTTTGCTGTAAGGACTTGTTCCCTCTTTTGAGCTACTACTTCCATAGGTGTAGGTCAAGTTCATCAAATTGTATGAGAATACTTTTTTTTTTTTTTTCCTCTTCTTTTTACTTCTGGTTGAGCGCTGATCGTCCAGTCACTGAAGCCAGGATAAGTGGGTATTATCTGCAAGTGTGGGTGTTCTTATGCATATGCCCTCTCTTCTTATCATCTGGACGCTTCACTCTCCACTCTAGTCCTCTGTGGCTATGTCACTGACTCTGGGCCCAAGAGTCCCCTGGTCTTGCCACACTGCTGGCCAACCAGGTCTTCACCCGGGTTCACAGAAGTCTATTGAACATTGTTTATGCTATTTTAAAAAGGTATTTGCAATGAACAAGTCATTGGTCTTGCAAAATTCTATCATGCGATCTCCAGCATCATTTCTATCACCAAGGCCATAGTTTCCAAATACTGATCCTCTTTGTTCCCAGCCTTTCCATTCCTCTTAATTTGTCTTTGCCAGCATAATAAACCATGGGATTTATCAGATTCGAAATGGCCAATGCCAGTCTATTTCAGCTCACTAATGGCTAGGATATCAATGTTTATGCATTCCATTTCATTTTTGACAATTTCCAATTTTCCTAGAATCATACTTTGTAAATGTTCCGATTACTAATAGATGTTTACAGTTGATTCTCTTCAATCTGAGTTGTGCCCCATCAGCAAAAGAAGGTCTCAGGACTTTACTCCATTCGTGTCATCACAGTCAACTGTACTTTGAAGAAGCAGCTTTTCTCCAGTGGTATTTGAGTGCATTCCAACCTGAGGGGCTCATCTTCTGGAATTATCTCTGACAATATCCTGGTGCTCTTCATCATGTTGCAATATTCAATAATCTGGTGTTGACAGTGTTCCTGCTACTTAAAAGGGTTTTAGTGATTAAATATTCAGAAGTAGTCTGTCTCCTTCTTCCTAGTCTGTCTCTGACTGGAAGCTCAGATGAAATCTGTCTACCATAGATGTCCCTGCTGTTATTCAAAATATCCCTGGCATAGCTTCCAGAATCACAGCAACACACAAGACACTATAGTACAACAAACTCACAGACAGCAAGAATAGTTAAGCACTATTTCTAATAAACCAGAAAATTTGCTACTAAGATTACAGCATAATTTTCACTTCAAAATCACAGAAATGTATTAATTTTGCAGATTCAAATGAATAACATCACCAAATGGAAATTTTATAAAGCTTCTGACAATGTTCTTTCTTGCTGCACAAGACCTCTTTAACATGTTCAAGAACAAAGATGTCAGCTTGAGGACTAAGGTGCTCCTGACCCAAGCCATGGTATTTCTAATAACCTCATATGAATGTGAGAGTTGGACTGTGAATAAGGAAGACCGTAGAAGAACAGATGCATTTGAGTTATGGTGTTGGAGGAGAATATTGAAAGTACCATCGACTGCCAAAAGAACAAATAGATCTGTGTTGGAAGAAGAACAGTCAGAATGCTCCTTAGAAGCCAGGATGGCCAGACTTTGTCCCTTATACTTCATACATATTATCAGGAGGGACCAGTCTGTGGAGAGGGACATAATTGTTAATGTGGAAGGTCAGAGAAAAAAAGGAAGACCCCTAATGAGAAGGAATGGCACATTGGCAGCAGTAGTGGGTTCAAGCGTAACGTTTGTTACGATGGCACAGTACAGGACCAGGCAGTGTTTCGTTCTTTTGTGCATCAAGTCAATATCAGTTAGAAGTGACTTGAAGACACCTACTAACAACAACAACAATAAAGAAAAAAGCACTGATGTTAAATTTGAAGACCAAATTTAAGACTTGAACCCCTTTGCCAATACAGAAATTTATGTTGCATTTGTATGTGGTCATTCCCATTCTCCAGACAAGTCAAAACATATTTAGATGAATCAGTATTTCCACCTTGAGCCTGTAACTCCCCAAGAGACTGTTTGCACAAAAACAGAGTTTATTATGCTCTTTAGCTCACAAAATGACATTTCTTTTGAAGGCGTTTAATGCCTTGATCAGGAAGTGGAAATGGTGATCTTCTTCAAAGGTCAGAGCTTTGAAAAACCTTGAGGAGTCATTCTTGTCTGCACACATGGGGTCAGTATGATTCAGAACCAACTTGATGGCAGCCATGAGGGGCAACGACACTTCCTTGGTCTTTCTGAGACCTACTTTTTTGTCCTTTACTCATGAATTAAAGTGGTATTACCAATCAAGTCTATCAAATGGAAATATCATTGTTGTTAAGTGCCATCGACTCAGTTCGAACTCATAGCAACTTTGTATAGGGTTTCCATCGAGTGCCTGGTAGATTTGAACCACCAACCTTGTGGTTTGCAGTCCAGTGCTTATTCTACCATACCGCAGTAGGACTCCACACAGGGAAACATACTGGTACATACTTTTTTTTTGAGTGACCACAATTATGGGATCAACTTTCTGTATCTCAGGTTTGTCAATTTTAAAAATGTTGTTGTTGTTGTTAAGTACCGTGGAGTCGGTTCCGACTCATAGTGACCTTACACTGGGTTTCCAAGGCTGTAAATCTTTATGGGAGCAGAATGCCTCATCTTTCTCCCGTGGAGACACTGGTAGTTTCGAACTCCTGATCTTGAGGTTGGCAATCCGACTCGTAAGTACTACGCTACCAGAGTTCCTTATTAGATTGATTTAAATACATCTTATACTGTGATGCTTATTGCTTTGAATTTCAATTTGATCTGTTTGTGTCCTGCATTTTTGTCATCAGAATAAAGCTCATTCCCAGCTATGGATTTCGGGCCTTTATCCTTCTGCTTATTGGTTGGGACAAGCACTGGTAGACATTAACCTCTACAGTTTGATTCTCTTTTCAACGTATCTATTTTATTACACAACTGACAAATTAAGCTTTCATGCAACAAGTCGAATTGTGTTTGCTATGGTAAGTAGTGTGTGACATGCACTGTATTTTACAGATAATGGTAAATTTTAGCACTGATGTTTTACATTATTCAGACATTTTGTTTTTTTTATTTTGTCACAGTTATAAAACCATGCGAACTGCAAGTGCAATAAAATATAGTTTAAATGCAAAATTTCATTTTTCCTTCAGTCACTCGTTGGTCTTTTGACTTTGATCTTATGTGTATCTTCTTCAGATTGTGACGACACTTGGTTATGCTGCTTCTATTGTCTTCCTGACTTATGTGATATCATTTATTTTTCACAAGAGGAGAAAAAATAACACCCTCTGGTCATTTTGTTATTATCTGGTAAGTAGCGAGCCTTACCTGCAGATAGGGAGAAAGTGCTCACTTTCAATATATCATTGGTTGGTGCCGTGGAGTCGGTTCTGACTCATAGCGACCCTGACTGTAAATCTTTATGGAAGGAGAAAGCCTCATCTTTCTCTCATGGAACAGCTGGTAGTTTCGAACTGCTGACCTTGCAGTTGGCAGCCCGATTTGTAACTACTACACTACCAAAGCTCCTTGGTTAGAATCATTTCTGCTTGGAGCAATGAGGATAGTGATATTGTTGTTGTTATTGTTAAATGCTGTCAAGTCACTCCCAACTCATAGCAACCCTGCATATAGTTTCAGAAGAGCAGTTGGTGGGCTTGAACTGCCAAGCTTGTGTTTAGCAGTGCCATGCTTATCCTAGAGCACCATGCCAGCAGCAGTTAACTAACTTGTTTCTAGAGTCCCAAGGCTATAGTGCCTCATGGGCAGCCTAGGTACCTGCTGGCATGGGAGCTCTTTTTCAGGTCGTTATGCTCAGTGGTGGAGTGCTAGTAGCGCCTCCTTCAGCACATTTGGGTGCACTGTGTTTGCTGCAATACATCTTGGAACCCGCTCTTGATACAGTGCTTTAGAAAGGGAAGAAGAGAATAAAGAAAAGAAAGAGCTCTACGCTTGGCATTGTGATAGGATAAAGAAAGGCATTTAAGGACTTAAAGTTGTCAGAAATGACAAAATAGGAGGGAAAATCGAAAAAAAAATCATGACTTAGAAACCAAGAGAAGTGGGCAGAGGTTGTGGAGGAGCTTGCAAAATGAGAAGAATTCTTTAGATTTGCCATCTAAAATGCTTCTTGTGCTTTTGCTGAATACTTGGTTTTACGTTATTATGCTCAGTTCTCAATGATTTCATTTAGCCTTGATGCACCATAACTCTATAACATGATCCCTCAAAAATGATACTGTTTGCTCCATCCCCAATTATTTCATTTAGCATTTTTACAACAAAGCCCAATAAAATGGTCCCTCAAAAAAAAAAAGGAGAATTTTCTGACAAAGGCTTACATACAGAGTTTTGAATTCTGTTTCTGTGTGGTTGTATGATATGTTTTAACTTCTCAGAATCCTATGTTTCACATGTATAAAGGGAGGATGAATATTAGCAAGTTCATAATAGAGTTGCTGAGGATGAAAATATATGTTGTTGTTGTTAAGTGCCGTCAAGTCGGTTCTGACTCACAGTGAATCTGTATAGGGTTTCGGAGAAGTGGCTGGTAGATTTGAACTGCTGACCTTGTGGTTCAAACCAACATTACAGTCAGGTTCTTATCCCACACCACCACACCAGGATTCCATGAAGTGTATAATTAAAACATATAATGCATGCTAAATTCTTAATGCCTAGCATTTGTAATAGTGAATTTAGTCATTATAATTCTTAATAGTTTATTCCAATTAGTGCACTAATGATATAGCAGAGGTTCAGTACAGTACCTAATACATGCTTGCTGATTGTTAAATTAATCCTTCAAACAGAAAATCAGAGAAAAAATTATCTTTATTCCCCCATCCTGCACTTCCAAGTATTCCACTAGGAAGACTCCATCAGAATCAAAATGTACAAACTGAGAAAAGTCATCTGGACTGAGAAACAAATGGAACAAGGGAGATGATGAACGTTCTTTACAGTAGCCTGAAATTCCAAGTTAGAGCCAATAGAGATTTTTTTTCTATAGCTATCCATACAACTTTTTCATACTTTAGCAATATTGTTACCTTTGCTATAAAAATATATTTTCTCTCTTCAGTATATTGTCTTGGATTACACTTAATAATGAACTGTCAGAAAGTCTTTTGGATCATTTTAGCTTTCACCTCAATCCCCCATCTTTTTATCTATCTAGAGTTTTCTATAGGGGAGCTAAAGAATATATATATTCTTCTTAACAATTTTCCCTCCCCCTTCTTCTGCCTCTAAGGGAAATTGTGATGGTCATGGGATGAATTTGCATGAGAAAGAATGCTTGCTTGCATGATGATATTTACTTGCATACATTATGCTGTTTACATGTGTTCTCTCAAATACTCGTGGGCCCATTCATAACATGTAACCTATCTGGATGTGTCTTGTAGATCATGATCATCGTATTTGACATCATTTTCCGAGTGTACACCATTATACCATTCCTGATTTTCTGTATGACATTAGTGCCCCAAATTAACCTGGGTGGATTTGTAATGTTTTTAACAGAGGTAAGAGATGATACTGTCATTTATTTTGAATATGTAATATGCCTTTGAGTTGTGGTGTTGGAGGAGAATATTGAAAGTGCCACAGGCTGCCAAAAGAACCAATAGATCTGTGTTGGAAGAAGTGCAGCCAGAGTGCTCCTTAGAGGCCAGGATGACCAAACTTCGTCTCTCATACTTTGGACATATTGTCAGAAGGGACCAGTGGCTGGAGGAGGATATCATGTTTGGTAAAGTGGAAGGTCAGAGAAAAAGGGGAAGACCCCTACAAGATGGATTGGCCAAGTGGCAGCATCAATGGACTCAAGTGTGGCAACTTTAGTGAGGTTGTCCCAGGATTAGGCAGTGTTTTGTTCTGCTGTTCATAGGGTTGCTATGAGTCAGTACTGACTCGATGGCACCTAACAAAAACAACAATCTCTTAAAGTGCTTTGACTCAATCTACAGAAATAGAAAGTAAATTGAATGACAATGAAGAATATGATAGCAAATGGAAATGAGGGATTCTTTGGAGTGATGTTGTTGTTGCTAAGCTCTATCGAGTTAGTTCCAACTCAGAGCAACTCATAGTATAGGGTTTCCATGGTATGTCTGGTGGGTTAGAACCGCTGGCCTTGAAGTCCAGTGCTTATCCTACCATACCATCCAGGACTTTCTTTGGGGTGATTGTTGTTGCTGTTAAGTGCCGTAGACTCAATTCCGACCCATAGTGACCCTGTATTGGGTTTCCAAGGAGCAGCTGGTGAGCTTGAAGTTCAAACAGCTTTACAATCTAGCGCATTAATCCACAGCACCACAACAGGACTCCTTTGGGGTGATTTGTTGTTGTTGTTATGTGCCGTGGAGTCGGTTCCGACTCATAGTGACCCTGTACAGGGTTTCCAAGACTGTAAATCTTTACGGGAGCAGAAAGCCTCATCTTTCTCCCAAGGAACAGCTGGTAGTTTCGAACTGCTGACCTTGCAGTTTGCAGCCCGATTTGTAACCACTACGCTACCAGAGTAGCGTAGTGGTTACGAATCTCTAAAATTAAATTGTGGTGTTGAGTGTACAATTCTGAAAATTTGCTACAAATTGTTGACATGTACACTTAAGATAGGTAAAGTTTATGACAAGAAAGCTGTTGTGGAGGTAAAACACCATTGGGGTAGGACAAGGCACTGAAAAAGCTTATATGGAGGCAGTTAGGGCCAATATTGTCAATCTCCAGAGGTTTTCACAATGCCAGGACCTTTTCCTGGCAAACTTAAAGCCCAAAGACTTCTTGATAATATTAGTGGTAAACACCTTGGAAAAGAGAACCAGACATAGGCTTCCAGGTCATTAAGAGGTAGTCAGATCTGAATGGAGACCTTCAATCTTCTCTGTAAGTCATCTGTGTGTGCTATGTGTGAAGATTCATATTATTTAAATGCAAAGCTGATCAGTTTCCACTTGACCATTGTTTTCTTTTTGCAGCGGTTCTTTCAGCATTACCTTACATCTAAAAATTTGGATTACGACATGGATGACGTTGATCTTCTACTCTGCTTAATTGTGAGACTTTCTACCTAGCCATATGTCCTTTAGGCTATATATCATTGAATGTCCTTATTTGGTCTTGTCTTCAGAGTGACAAATTTGAAATTGCTTGATATTGTCAGGTAGAAGAATGATCTTCAGAAAGAATGATTCTAAAGCTTAAATGTACTTTTTATGAGCACAAATGGACTGGATTGTAAATCCAGGGATCAATATAAGAATTTGTGTTATGTGTTTGTTTATATAGTGTGTTATAAATGTATAGTAGAAAATACAAATGTAATATAACTTAAGTCATTTAAATTCTGCATAAAAGGCAAAAGCTACATGATAAGAATGTTGTTGTTAAGTGCCTGTCAAGTTGGTTCTGACCCATAGAGACCCTGTATAGAATTTCCAAGGAGCACCTGGTGGGTTTGAACTGCTGACCTTGAGGTTAGCAGTCTAGTGCTGATCCTACAGCATCCCACCAGGACTCCAGAATGTAAGGAGTGGATAATTATATCCATATACTCAGGCTAAGGAAAGCTGCTGACTTTGAATTCTAAGTTAACACTTTCCTAGGCAAGGATCATATGCAGACAAACAAAAATGCCTGCCTGCCCTCATGGAGTTTATATTCTTGAGCAAGAGACAGGCAATAAACTAAATAAATGTGCCAGATGGGTGGTCAGGGAAGACCCTGCAGAGAAATAAAGATCTGTAGGAGTTAAGGAAGAGAAATGACAGGAGAGCTTGGAGAAGCCCACTCCAGTCATAAGCTGCAAGAATGACACTGACATGCTACCGTATCAGCCAGGAAGTCAGAGCGATTGCTGCAGAAAGGTCAAGGGGCAGACTGGGAGGAGAGTTCACCTAAGTAATAGGGTGGAGGTGGGCTGGGAGAAGGGATTTTGTAGAACTTTCTAGATCACTCAATAGATTCTGACTCTTTTTTTTTTGAGTGATTGATGAGCTGTTGGAGGGTTTTGTGTAGAATGATAGGATTCGATTTACCTACTGAAAGAATTACTCTGGTTAGCATAGCGTGAATAGATGACTGACTCAAGGAGAGAAGATAGATACCAAGTAGGAAGGTATTGCAGTAATCCAGGGGAGAGACAACAACACTGTGGTTTTGGGTGGAAGTAGCACAAGTAGGGACAGGAAGTAGTTAAAATCTGGATCAATTTTAAGCTAGAACACATAGGATTGGCTGATAATCTGTATTTAGTGTGAGGAGAAAGAAAAGAGATAAGTTGTGAATGTATTTGTTGTTAAATGTCATCAGATGTTTTGTTGTTAAGTGCCATAGAGTTGATTCCAACTCATAGCGACCCTGTATAGGGTTCCCAGGGAGCATCTAGTGGATTTGAACCACCAGCCTTGCAGTTCAAACTGACCTTGTGGTCCAGTGCTTATCCTACAGCACCACACCCAGACTCCAAAAAAGCTCTCCCCAGCTGATAAGAATGTGTCTCACCTGCTTTATCTGAAGACAAAAGACCACCAATGTAATTCAAATGTCTGAATAATATTTGTGACATTCTCCCTTAATAATATTGTTTTCCTTTGCTCCTAGCCTTACTTTCAAGTTATGTTTTTCCTGTTTGTTCTAAGATGCCTGGAAATGAAGTATGGAAAGAAAATCATACGAAAAGACCCTGTTTTCAGGTTGGGATTAAAAAAAAAAAATCATTCAATTTGGCACAACATCATATTCTAATATTCCGAGAGAGTGGCTATACAACTCATCTAGTGGGGAGTTAAAGTACAATGTAAGCATCATGATAGCTGTCATTTTGGCCAGTCCTTCACTGACTTCCTTATAAGAAAATATGACTTCCAGGCAAAGGGTTGCCACCAACTAGCTGAGGAAGCTGGAAGTAACTTCCATCCCCTCAGATACTTCATGAGCACCCAGATAAGTCATTCTCCCATTCAAGACGGTCCTGTATTCTTAAACCAAAGAGATGGGATAGAATTGGATTCGAAAGAGTCACGGTGTTAACTGGGAACATGGCTACAACACCAAGAAAGAGATTCTGGCCGATGGGGTGGAAGTTCTTGGCAAAAGTAGAAGCAGGTTATCAACAGAGTCATTTTCATCAGTCTATGGAAACCAAGGGCAATGGTAGCATCATGGGAAGCTAATTTTTGATACAACCTTGACAACTAGAAAATCACATGTAACCCATTTCATTCTTCCCCACAGAATTTCTCCCCAAAGTAGAGATAGTCAACCAAATCCCGAGGAACCTCTGGATGAAGATGAAGACGTTCAAGCAGAAAGAATAAGAGCAGCAAATGCCTTGACTAGTTCAAATATTGATGAGGTAGAAAAAGAACATGAGCAAATAAATGTTCACCGAGATATTCAAGAACTAAGATCTACTAGTTTAGTTTTCATTTTGAAACAAATCCTTAAATATACAGGGATTTCTTTTGGGCACCACTGAAGCTTGATCCAGAAAAGAGTAGAAAACATGATGATTTTCTTTTTCTTTGGAAGAAAGCAGGTTTTGTTCAGTAGAGCTACAATTTCAAAAAGAAATCAGACAGCATGATTCCAAGTGTTTTGGTGAGATTTGCTATAAAATGCTGAGAGTACAATTTCAAAAGTTATCTTTTATTTGCCTTAGATATTATGATGTTTCCATGAATTTAGCCACTTCTGTGTGTTGAAAAGACAGTGTGCTGGATTTTATAAAGCTCTACTATCTTCCCAGTTCATTGAGAAGTATGAAATACTGTTTGAGAAATGAGTGCATATTACATCAGAAATAATCAATATGGCTTACCCTCGATGCAAAATATAGTTAGGTTAATGACATTGTACAGAAACGGATCCAGCAAGGAGAACATAGGACTGACTGTCAGATCTCTGAAATATAACAGGAAAACCATGCTATCATTTATTCTAGAAACCTGTCATCATTGCCAGCTGTCTACACAAAGAATATGCAGGCAAGAAGAAACGGTGCTTTTCCAAGAGAAAGAAGAAAATAGCTGCAAGAAATATCTCTTTTTGTGTTCATGAAGGTTGGCCATAGTCACTTTACTACTCACCATTATTATTAGATATGTGACTGGAACAGCTCTTGTTTTAGGGGTCATTCTACTTGCTGAAGCATACATTCATCCATTCGTTGAAAATATATTGTTCATATATAGGGCACGATGAATTGCTAAACTGAAACAAGTTAAATTAGCTATAGGGTAAAATTTTGCAAGCTTAATGATGTACTGATTATCATATTAATTTAGATATACTTTTTTATACCAATTCACCCATCTAATTTATAATAGTTGTTGTTGTTAAGTACTGTGGAGTTGGTTCCGACTCATAGTGACCCTGTACAGCAGGGTTTCCGAGGTTGTAAATCTTTACAGGAGCAGAATGCCTCATCTTTCTCCTGTGGAACCGCTGGTAGTTTCGAAATGCCGACCTTGAGGTTAGCAGCCCGATTCGTAACCACTACGCTACCAGAGCTCCTTATTTCTAGTAGTAGGTGTAATAAATATTGGCATTCCAATGTTTTGTTTGACATGCATGCTGCTTTCAGGATCGATTTTATCTTTACACAGTATATCACTTACACAACTTATATAATCATTAAGAAAAATATTTGATACAAAATTAAATATTAAAGTGTTTTGTTAACACTGTTCAGCTCTGCCCAAAGCAAACTGAATATCTGGGAATTTTCTCTTTTTCTATCTACTCAGTTGGCTACCTAATATTATTGCTAATGTTAATCATTTTACCAGATTTTTATCAATGTTTCCAGTTCCTTATTTTCTTTTAAAACTATCCACCTTTCTTTAAGTAAACTTTTAAAGATTCCCTAGTATATTTTAATGTTATCTAGAAAGTTAGCATTAGAATATAAAACATTTGTTACTAAGGCATTTTTTTCTCCTAATTTCTAAAGGATATTTCTTTATTGTAAGCATGTGTATTCCTAATGAATACATTTTATTAAAAAATAAAACTAATTAATCAGTTCTATAAAAAATATCTCAATAACAAATGTTTTATTTACTAACACTTTCTAGATAACATTAAAATATTCTATGAAATCTTCACAAATTTATTTGAAGAAAGAAAACCTATTCCTGTCCTGATACGTGGAGAAAAATAAACTGCTAAATAATGTAATCAATTAAAAATCTGAATTCCAAACAAAGAAAGAAAATATATTGTTCAGTGTGGTAGGGCCTGTTTTAGACTCTGGGCATGTATTTATGAAGGAATGAGGCAAAGTCTCTGCTTTCATGGTCCTAGCAGGGGTTCTATAAACAAAAATAATTTATCAAGGAGGGTATCAGACATAAATAAATTTTATGTGGAGCTTAAAACATGAGAAACGAAGGTAGTGAATTGGGGCTGCATTTGATTTTAGATGGTCAAGGAAGACCTTACTTGAGGAGCAACATTTAATCCAATAATATCTGAGTATAAAGAAGGTACCAGTTATGTCATCCCTAATAGAGTTGAACTTTCTAAACACAGAGAGGAGTGAATATAGGAAATTAGACCTGCAGACAGGTTTGGAGTGCTTGAGACACGGCCACACACCAGTGGAAGGGAGGAGGAGGAGGCAGAGGCAGGCAGGGCCAGATCAGGTACAGCTTTGTAAAACACATCAATGAGTTAATATTTTGAGCCAAGTTAGGAAAAAGGTATTAGAGATTTGTTTTGTTTTGTTTTTTCCCAGTAGGCTTGTGCCATCATTGAACTGATGTTTTGAAAAGATTACACTGGTTGCTGTTTGTTGATAAGTTAGGAGGAAGAACAAATTAAGATGTTTCTAGATGAAAAATGCTTTTGAGTTATGGTGCTGGAGGAGAAAATTGAATGTGCCATGCGCTGCCAGAAGAACCAACAGATCTGTGTTGGAAGAAATGCAGCCAGAGTGCTCCTTGAAGGCCAAGATGGCCAAACTTCATCTCTCATACTTTGGACATATTGTCAGGAGGGACCAGTCTCTAGAGAAGGATATCATGTTTGGTAGGGTGGAGGGTCAGAGAGAAAGAGGAAGGATAGAAGAAGAGGAAGACCCCAGCAAGATGGATTGGCAAAGTTTCATCATCAGTGGGTTCAAGCATGAGATTGGCCCAGGATCAGCCAGTGTTTTTTCTGTTGTGCATAAGGTCACTATGAGTTGATACAAAATATTCCCGGTTTCCCAGCTTTAGGAATCATTTAATCCTGTACTCCTCACAATAGCAATTTATTATGGAAAACAATTTGGATTTTTTTTTTTTTTAAACCCAAACATATATCCTGGAAAAGTGTGGCAAATATATTGGCAGAGAATCTATAAGCTCTCCAGTCATATTTGAGATGTGCAAATAAGCTCACACTTTGGTGGCATGGACTACATTGTTGTGTTGTTTCCAACCCATAGCAACCCTGCATAGGGTTTCCAAGGAGCATCTGGTGAGCTTGAACTGCCAACCTTGCAGTTCAAATGGCTTTGCAGTCTGGCCCATTAACCCACAGTGCCACACCAGGACTCCATACATGTTACATATTTCAAATTGACAGTAACTGATGGGAGGGTGCAAGTTTCTCAGGTTTTATTGAAGAAGCAAGTTCATGTTCAGGTTTTACTTGCGATGTTAAGTGAGTGATTCTTTCTTTCAGGTGAAATTCTGGGATTGCTAGGACCCAATGGTGCTGGTAAAAGTTCATCTATTAAAATGATAGCAGGAATCACAAGGCCAACAGCTGGAAAGGTAGTGGAAAAGAAGGAGTTGATACATTATATATTTATCAAACTATACTTATATAGCATGGGGTCTTGATCTGACACTGTAAAATAAACTTTGGAGTGCTATCCACAAGGTGGGTGATTCAAGGGCACCTGACAAGTCTTGGAAGCTCTATATGGGGTCACTATGAGTGGGAACCAACTCCATGACATGTAACAACAACAACATATTTGTATATGGGAAACCTGGGGTGCTAACTGAAAGATTTGGAGGCTCATGCCCACCCAGATGCACCTAGTAAGAAAGGTCTGGCAATATACTTCCAAAAACTTAGTCATTAAAAAACCCTGTGGAGCACAGTTCCACTCTGAAACACATCGACTCACCACGAGTTGTAAACAACTCTGTGGGAACTAGTATACTTAAATATTGGTAGTTTAAGTGGCTGTCAATAACAAATGTTTGAATTAATTTCTTAACTATTTCTTTGATGTTCTAGAAATCCAGCCATTAATGATTATTAATGTCAGTTTCTTGGGTAACTGTAGGGTTGAAGAGAAGAATGCACTCATTTAAAAGTTAAAAAAAAATGAATTTGTTTTTTAGGCGGAATTAAAAGGATTCAGTTCAGGTTGGGATTACCAGGTAGACAACGAGGTCAAGTTTCTGGGGTACTGTCCTCAGAAGAACGCGCTGTGGTCCACCCTCACGGTGAGGGAACACCTGGACTTGTATGCAGCTGTGAAAGGGCTGAGGAAAGACGATGCCAAGGCTGCCATTACACGGTACAGAGATAAGTCACGTGCTTCCTTTGGGTCATGTGGTAGGGTGACTGTATAGTTTGTGATAAACTCGTTAATGAAGAATGGAAACTAGAGATGACATCTCCCGCTTTATTGAGTGTTGGGTTCCAGTCCCAACAGAATGCAAAACCTCATTTCCCCACATCCTTGAACAAGGGGTCTTAAAAAAAACACCGTATAAAACTATGGACAATGAATAAGGTACAAACATACACAAACATATATTCATTTTTGTTTCTAAATCACAATTCTGACTTTTCTTAAATAATTTTTAAGACATGAGTCATCTTTGTATTCCAAAATAAACTGATTTTTGTCTCTCCTTATCCCTAGAATTTTGTGAATAATACTGTGAGCTTTTGCTCTGTTAAAAACAATAGGATTTTGACAACTGCAGAAATCACTATTTTAAAAGAGAAAGGGAGAAGTGTTTGCAAACAGGCAGTCCATTATATGGACATTTTTGTGACTATGAGCAAAGAGGTTTTTTGCTTACATGACATTTACATATAAAATAGTTGGTTCTTGAAGGTTACACAGTAGTGTTGAAGAAGAAGTTGCACAGAATGCACAAAAATGTTAGAAATGCAGGTTGTGGGAAAAAGAAACATTTAGGCTACACACCTATCGTCTGTTATTTCAAAGTGAGCAAGGTTCTTGGGAAACAGGAAAGAGCATTCATTTTTTTTTTAGGGGGTTGTTGTTGCTGTTAAGTGCTATTGAGTTGTTTCTGACCCACAGCAATCCTGTATAGAGTTTCCAAGGAGCAGCTGGTGAGCTTGAACCACTGACCTTGCAGTTCAAACGACTTTGCAGTCTGACGCATTAAATTAAGGCACACACCAATTCTGTTATGATTGTTAAGTGACATTGAGTCACTTCCAACTCTTAGTGACCTTGTTTAGAGTTTCTGAGGAGTGGCTGAGTTAGCAGGTAGTGTTTATCCTTCAGTACCACACCAGGACACTACAATAATTCTACAGTTTCTAAATATGCAATTCAGTTACATTGATTATAGTCTTGAACTTGTGCAACAATTCTCACCTTTTCAAGTCATTCCATCGCCATTAAGATAAACTCACTGGCAGGCTCATGAGGTCTTGTTCCTGCTAGACCAGGCAAGGCAGTGGTTACAAATGGGATGTGACTGAGTCTCCAGAGTAAGGTTGTGCATCCTTGAGACTTCCATGAGCTTGGTTTGCCATGGCAGATTGTTTTCAGTAACATCACATGCATTTGAAAGTTGTACAGTGAATAAGGAAGACAATAGAAGAATTGATGCATTCGCGTTACGTTGTTGAAGAATTTTAAAGGTACCATGGACTACCAGGAGAACAAACAAATCTGTCTTGGAAGAAGTGCAACCAGCATGCTCCCTTAGAAGTCAAAACAACTAAACTTCATCTCTCATACTTCAGACATATTATCAGGACATCATGCTTGGTAGAGTGGACAGTCAGCGAAAAAGAGGAAACCCCCAGTGAGATGGACTGGCACAGTGGCAGCAGCCTGGGGCTCAAATATAGCAGCAATTGTGAGGATGGCCCAGGACTGGGCAGTGTTTCCTTCTGCTATACATAAGATTGCTATAGGTCAGAAACAACTCCACGGCACCTAACAGCAACAACATTTAATGACAGGACACCCAGAAGTCTTGGAACGTTGTCTAGGCTTCTGGGAAGTTGTTTAATTTTGACATCTCCAATACTGTAACTTTTCTGTATGCTTACATTTACCAAAAAAAATAACCAGCCAAAACCAAACAGAACTTCTGTTGATCTAATTTTCCACCAGATTAGTGGATGCTTTCCGACTGCAGAAGATGCTGAATGTGCCAGTGTGGAAATTAACAGCAGGCACCAGTAGAATGGTATGTGTGGTGTGCAATGGTATCCCCAGAGCTGGTACAGTGTGGCAGCAAACAGGGATGTTTCTCTGCATTTCAGTTATGCTTTGTGCTGAGCCTCCTGGGAAACTCACCTGTGATGCTTTTGGATGAACCATCTATAGGCCTGGATCCCACCAGGCAGCAACAACTGTGGTGAGAATTATCACTGTTGCCGGAGCTATGGATGTGGTTGTGGTTAGGTTCTGCCTAGTCAGTTCTGGCTCATAGTGACCTTACGTACAATAGAATTGAGCAGAGCCTAGTCCTGTGCCATCCTCACCGGTGTTGCCATGTTTGAGTCCATTGGGTCAGCCACTGTGTCAGGCCAGCTCATTAAAGGGTCTTCCGCTTTTTTTTATGTCCCTCTCCCCATGAACCAGGGGTTCGTGTAGTTGCAAAGTTGCATTTTAAAACTGATCTTGGAAACATCATTCCTCAGATCCACTGATTCGTAATTCAGTGGAATGGTCCACATTATTAGGAAAATAGATATTTCACAAGTAGATAATTTAATGTGGTATCAGGTGCATGCATTTTTCTAGTAATAAAAGAAGCTAAGTACTTTGTTGAGTATATTTTAATGTTGCCCTTTAATTATTGAGGTGTCTGAATGGTCTCTGTCTTTTCGCTTTCTTTCTTTTTGTACTCTTCCTTTGATTTCTTAGAAACCATTCATCTACTGACCCAATTTCCCAATTTCAGTTTTGTTTCCTTTTAAACTAAACTAATCTGCACTTTAAACGAATCTGTCAACTTTGTTTATCCGGTTTCTAAGAACACTTTCTCGCTTCTTTCTAATCTAGAACTTTCCCTATGAACTAATACAGACCCTCCAAGGTAGTTTCATATTTGTAACTGTCCAGTGTTTTTTTTTTTTTTCAATGTGTCTCAACAATTTGTTATGGAAATGTCCACAATGTAGAGAGGGTCAAGGAACCCTGGTGGCGCAATGGTTAAGTGTTCAGCTGGTGTTAGGAACCTACCAGCTGATGTGTTAGAGAAAAACCTCTGGTGATTTTTAACCATAAAGTTCCCAGTTTTGGAAATCTTATGGGGCAGTTCTATTCTGCCTTATAGTCACTGTGTGGAAGAATCGACTGAAGGCAAAACATGACAGCAGAGAGAATCCTTTATGAACTCATCATTCTATTTCTATAGTTGTTCCCATTGTCCCATTCTCCTTTTTTTTCCTATAACCTTACTCACTTCTTTTTCCCACCTTCCAATAATCTGGAACAAATCCCAGGCAACATATCCTATTGATTACAAATAATATTAATTCCTTAGGACTAATTGTTTTCTTGAGTCTTTGATTTGATCTTCTTCGCTCCTCTTTGCCTTAGATGAGGAGACACCAATCACTGACTCTTACTTAGATAGCTCCTCCCAAGCTTTGAAGACTCCAGTCCCTACTCACAGAAGTAGGATGTAGAACATTGTCTTTGTGGACTGTGTTGTACCATTGACCTAGATGTCCCTTGAGACTACAGTCCTAAGTCTCCAAACCCCAGGATTCATTCCCTCAGTGTGTTGAAATATATTTTTTAAATAACCTCTTGATTCACCTCAGGCAGGCAATCCAGACTTCTGTTAAAAACTCCAAAAAGGGGGCTCTCCTGATCACACATTACCTGGATGAGGCTGAGGCTGTATGTGACCGTGTGGCTATCATGGTATCTGGGAGTCTCAGGTAGGTGTCTTTCTGAAGCCCACATTGATCCCTCAAAACAAGAGTTTCTCTGTAGACAGGGTGGGGCTATTGTCATCAAGAGAAACTTGACTTCTCATTTCTCCAGTGGCACCCTTTCCCTGCATTTGAAATTTAAGAATACTTCAAGAAATGGAGGAGCAATTTTCTTTCTCTCTCAACACACTGTCCTTCTTGTCCCTAGATGCATTGGCCCCATCCAACACCTGAAGAGGAAGTATGGCAAGGATTATATTCTAGAACTCAAACTGAAGGAAACTTCTGTAGGGACTCTGGTACACATGGAGATTCTGAAACTTTTCCCGCAGGCTGTACGGCAAGAAAGGTGAAAGGAGTGTTTGATTCTAGTGAAAAGCGTGTAGACTAGGTCCATTTAGTGCTTACCTCTATGACAATGTCAAGGTACATTGACTTCTCATTGACCTCAGGAGTGATTTATTGAGGCATCAGAGTTGAGAGCTTCCCAGGAAGCTAATGATAGGAATGACAAAGTTGCAAATATTCCTAGTAAACAGCGCCCCCCCCCCCCGCCCCACAGAAGACAAAAGGCAACCAAGATAATCCATACATCTCAATTGAATGGTGTTTATCCTTCAACGTGGAGTCTAGAACAGTGTGAGTTTGCATGTGGAGTCTAGAATGAGGAGAGAGAAAGGAGGCAGAGAATAAACTCCAAACTCATTGGAAGGAGGAGCTCATCTAAGGACACAAAAACTACTCCTTTTATTTTAACACAGTATGAATATAATGTTATGAGCTATTCCATAGTTCGGGGCATGTAAGTCCTGGCTGAATTTTGGTTTCATGAATCAGACAAGCAGTGTGGGAAGGTCAGAATGGTAAGTCTGAAGAAGCCAGGGCTGGGTCTGAGAAGGACAAGTCCTGGAGGTTTGGGGAAACCTTAGGGCAACCTGGGAACACCATGGGGAATGAACAGAGACTGGGATACCAAGTTTTTCTGCCAGAATACCATGTAGAAACAAGAGGCCCAAAATGTATTCTGTCCTTTCCTCAGAAACCTAAGAAGTCCTTTAAATACTTCCTCTGCTATTACATTCCTCTCCCCCAACCTAATAGCTCTCTTTCCAAGTTAATTTTCAGAAAGGTGACAAGGATAAACTCTTAGGTTAGAATTAGTTCCCAGCCTACTAATTTGTACTAACCCAATGAATATCTGAATATCCGAATCCAATGAGAAAAAGTTTGCATAGGGTGCACACAAAAAGTATTCCCAACTATTATAATGAGAACACACATTGTGTTCTTCAATAGCCAATTACCAACAATAATTCTTAAAATTTCCATTGATAGATGATTTTTACGTATTTCCTCTTTATGTGCATGCATAATTGACATGGCTATTACTAAGAAATAGATTAGTAATAACAGCAATATTTATTTTGATGCCATTTCTGCCTTAAACTCATGCTTGAACGTGATGTTTTCCAATCCAAGGTCCTCCTCTTTCTTGTCCTATAAACTACCTGTGGCAGATGTTCATCCACTATCTCAAGCATTTTACAGATTAGAGGAAGGTAAGAATCATGACATCTAGGTAAAACTATTGAAAAATTAATTCATTTGTATATAATGGTTTAATGTGAAAGAAATGTGTAATAAATAGTAAAAAATAATTTAAAAAAAAAATGAGACCTGTGATGACAAGTAGAAGATGGTGGCATTTAATTCCAGCATTAATTAATCCAACTCTCGGAAAGAGTTTATCTCCAGTTAAGGGACCAAAATGCAGAAAGCACACAACTTTGCTGACTGGTTTTACTATGAAACTGGGACACAGGCTTCAACAAAGTCCTTAGAGTGATCTGTTTTACCTGCGTTACATAATGCATTCATACCTTGTGTTGTTGTGGTCGTTAAGTGTTATGGAGTTGATTCTGATTCATAGCGACCTTTTATACAGTTTCCAAGGAGTGGCGGATAGGTTTGAACTGCCAGTCTTTGGCTTCAAACCAACTGAGCTTATCCTACAGCGCTATACCTGGTTGCCATTCATACCCTACTATTGCTGTTAAGTATTGAATTGCTGACCTTGTGGTTCACAGTCCATTACTGATCCTACAGCACCACACCAGGAATCCAAGGCTCCTAAATTCCTACATCTTTCCTTCTTCCATCTCCACCACCTGGTTCTGTCTCTCAGCTAATTCCCTTTATGTCCTGGTGTGGCACTGTAGATTAAACACTGTAGGTTAAAAACTGTTAACCACACGGTTGTCAGTTCAAACCCACCAGCCACTCCTCGGAAACCCTATGTAGGGTTGCTATGAGTCATAACCGACTCAGAGGCACTTAGCAATAACAATAAAAGTGACAGAGACATCTTCCATTCTTCCATGAAGTCTTCCTCATGTGTTAAGAATACATCAATCAATTATATAGCTCCTCAAGGAAGTATGTATCTCCCCAAGACATACATACTAAAGAGCAAAACACATAGTAAGTATCAAGCCATTAATTTTAATGTAGTATTTTTAATGTCAATATTAATTCTGTATGTATTTATACGGTACTCCTTTATGATTTTTCATTATTTTTGTCTTCCATTTATATTAGTGGTTTGCAGTTTTACTTTGTATGACTAAAAAAACTCTTGGAGAAAACTGGAAAACATCTAATATTAGCCTTTTTTTCTGTAGTGAGACATAACTTTAATGTGGAAGAATACAACCTCTCTCTGTGTACACTAGATCAGGTGAGTCTTTTTATGAGTCGTCTCGAAAATTTCATATGCAAACAGTTATCCTTTTTGCTATTCACTGGTAAGATAGTCAACAACTTAATAGTTCCTTTTCCTTCTTCATCTCCTCTTTAGGTATTACTGGAACTTTCTAAAGAGCAGGAGCTAGCAGACTCTGATGAAGAAGTTCATACATCCATGAGATGGAAACTTCTCTCTTATTCTGATGACCCTTAAATTCTCAAGCTTCAGAACTCTTCGTTCAGCTCATGTAGACTTATCTTATATGTCATAATTCACATTTTGTCTAATTTTTAAAATGCATTTAATGTCGGTACTGGGTATATGTCATATATGCAGTTAGCAAGTGACTACATTTGATAGTTAGTCTTCCCCTCAGACTTCAAGGTGATAGATAGACAAGCTATGACAAAGGCAATACAAAGGGATCAAGGCACTCAAAGAACCCAACCCTAGATGTGTGATGGAAATACAACTATACACTCAGCATGTTTGGAAACATAAATATTTTTTATCATTTATGAAACTTTCTCTTGCTAATATATATATATATATTAGGGTGTGGCAGCGGTGGTGAGGTTGGCTCAGGATTGGACATTGTTTCGTTCTGCTGTGCATGGGGTCGCTATGAGTCGGTTCCGACTCGATGGCACCTGACAACAACAACAACATATATATGAGACAAGCATTCAACAATCGGAAGTTGAATGGATACTTCACACCAATTTATGAGACACCGGGTGTATGGGTTTTCTTTTGTATATAAGTACAACCCAAGATGCCAGAACTTGTTTTGGAGGCCACAAAATTAGGAGGCCTATGGACACACAAGTAAACTAGTGTATTCATTTGAAGAACAGTTAAAATATTCCATTTGAAGCATGAAAAATCACAATAGTATTTGCTCAGATATTTATATTTTTTAATATATATTATGGTTGTGGGGCTACTGACCTCTCTCATTATCTGATTCATCATTTTCTGTGTATTTGCTGCTATTTTAGGATAATTTCCCCTTTATATATGTGTCTATATGTGTGTGTGTTATGTATGCATATATCATATGAAATCATCTTCTTTATTGATCAATTTTGTAAAAAATTTATGTTGCTTTTATATATTATTTTAGCTTTTCTCTTAAATAATAATTCATTTTGAATATCATCAGAAAATTTGTGAAGATCAAGCAGGATTACTTTGTGTGCATATGTGTGTATGAGAGAGAGAGGGGCAAAAAATATATTTTTGTAATGGTTCCTGAAGAAAATTTGTGTAATACAGAAAAATGTTGACTAGAGTTGAATGAAAATCACTACAATTTTACTATACCAAAAAACAACGTACACATGTTAGCATTTTCAACTCTTTCCTTCTGTCTTTATTTCAGATTTTACCTAGCTGAAATCATATAGTATACTTCTTGTTGTAAAGCGCTATTGAGTGGGGTTCTAACTCAGAGAGACCCTGTGAGGGTTACTGAGGAGCGGCTGATGGATTTGAACCACCAACTCTGTGGTTAGCAGTCCAGTGTATTTTCTGCAGTGCCACACATATGCAATCTCTAAATAAATATTTTCATATTTGCTGATATGACATTGAAATCATTTCAGTTTATATTCAAGTGTCAGTGAGGTTATAGTTTTTAATCTTTGCATTTCATTGTGTGTTAATATTTGAATCCTTTGTTCATTTCTGTGTTCTAACCTTTTTCTTATCTAATTGTATCTTTTGTCTATAAAATTTTACCAATATTTTAATTAAATATGAAAAGTTATATTTCTAAATCTCCGGTAAATCATCTATAGGAGCCTTTTGTGCCCTGTAAAAATCCATTTATATTATAGAGAGAGTTGAGTTCAAAGAAATTATTTATAAAACTCAAGCAATAAATCCTTTTGTCTTCCTCTAATGTAAAACATAGGAGCACAGTGGCTCCATATGATAAGCACTGGACTGTCAGCCACAAACGTCAGCAGTTTAAGCCCAACCGTTGCTCCATGGGAGAAAGATGAGGCATTCTGCTCCCATAAATATGTACAGCCTCAGAAAGCCTACAGAGAGTTTCTATGATTCTGACTCCATGGCTCTTAACAACAATAACAATACTATACAACATTGTTGTTGTGTTGTTATTCAGTGCTGTGGAGTCATCATTCCACATACATAAACATTTGAGTCCTGGTGTGGCGCTGTGGGTTAATGCACTGGACTGCAAAGTCGGCTTCAACCACAAATTCAGCAGTTCAAGCTCATCAGCTGCTCCTTGAAAACCCTATACAGGGTTGCTGTGGGTCAGAACCAACTCGATGGCACTTAACACAACAATAACAATTTCATGTAACAACATATGAGGTATATTCTTTATAAATTATGTCTTATCTATAAATTATAGAAATGTGTTTACAAAATACTGAATAAACAATGCCAGATGGAGCATGGGTATCATTAAAACATTAAATGGACTTTACTTGCTAAAACTACCACAGTATGGTAGGTTTTGAAGTTGCTAATTTAATTTTTTATTCCGACTGTGTACAAAAGCTGATGAATAGGTATAAAAAGAGAAGACAATCAGAATAAAACAAAGGATGATGTTGTAGATTGAAAGGTGTCTCCTCCACAAAGTGTGCTTGTATCTGCACCATATACTATGGAGCTTATGTCTGTAAATATAATTTTGTATGGAAGGTAGGAATTTCTTTGTTGTGTTAATTAGAGTATCTTTGCGGAGTGGGGTGAATTCAAATGTAATCACTTCTGAGTTACAAAAGGAGCCGAACAGATAAACACACAGAGAGAAAGGGAGGAGAAAGACCAAAGAGACAGATGCACCTACAAGCATTGTCGAAAACCATTAGAAGATGCAATGGTCCCCGAAGGGCCGCCCCATAGAGTCCCGCTCCAAATTAGAATTTACAGCCTCCTGAGTTGGAGACCTTGGGGTGCTGTTGGATAAGCTAACTGAAAGGGCAACAGTTCAAACCCTGGAGGCCATCTGCTCTGCTTACAGCCTCCGAAACCCTACACAGAGTTGCTATGGGTTGGAATCAGCCGGCTGACAGTGTGGGTTAGTGTGGGCTGTGAGAAAATAAATTTCTGTTCTTTAAAGCTACCTACGTGTGGTATTTAAGGTGCTCTGGTAGCGTAGTGGTTATGAATCGGGCTGCGAACCGCAAGGTCAGTAGTTCGAAACTACCAGCTGTTCCATGGGAGAAAGATGAGGCTTTCTGCTCCCTTAAAGATTTATAGCCTTGGAAATCCTGTACAGGGTCACTATGAGTCGGAACTGACTCCACGGCACATAACAACAACAACTTGTGGTATTTGTGCTATGGTAGCGTTACATCTGCTTTTGGAGTCCTGGTGTGTCACTGCAAAGTCGACTTCAACCACCAGGTCAGCAGTTCAAGCTCACCAGCTGCTCCTTGAAAACCCTATACAGGGTTGCTATGAGTCGGAACTGACTGGATAACACTTAACAACAGCAACAAGTACAATTAAACTTACATTAAACTTTGTAGTAAAATTTCATACACCTGAAGTTAAAGGGGGAAAATTCCAAAATATCCTAAAGAGTAAAACAAAATACATCAAATTAATGAGAATAAAAATTATGCCAGCATTTTTGTCAACAAAGCTAGGTGCAAGAGGGCAATCACAAACTGCTTTTAAAGTGAGCCGTTTAGCGTATTTCAACCTGGGCAAAAAATAAAATAAAGGAAGAAAAAGTAATGCTGAGCCAGAGGGGAAAGAGGGTCCTGAAATCAGGATTAAACACGAACTAAAGCCCAGTGACAGAAGGCTTCAGGATGCTTGTGATGACGTGTAATCGGTGCTCAGGGCTCATAAATGAACAGCCACATTCTGAGATAGACCATTAAAAGAGAGCAGACCACCCATAAAAAGTTATTATTTTATTTCCCTATATGATGTTTTAAGGAGCTCTGGTAGTGTTGTGGTTACTAATCGGGCTGTTAATCTCGTAGTCAGCAGTTCGAAACTACCAGCTGTTCCGTGGGAGAAAGATGAGGCTTTCTGCTCCCCTAAAGATTTACAGCCTCAGAAACCCTGTACAGGGGCACTATGAGTCGGAACCGACTCCATGGCACATAACAACAACAACAACAACATAGTGAAGTTTTACAAGGAGTCCTTGTGCACCCCCTGTACGGCAAAGTCGGTTTGAAGCACAAGGTAGGCAGTTCAAGCTCACCAGCTAATCCTCGGAAACCCTATACAGGGTTGCTATGGGTCGGAACCGACTCGACAACACTTAGCAACAACAAGATGTTTTAAGGTTATACTGTTTGTACCCAGTTCCCTAGACATAACCTAAAAGGATGACCTTCCACTGGGGGTGGCAGAGAACCATCTCCAGGGAGGGGTACTTAAGTGCTAAAGGTACTCAACATTCCAGAATAAGTTTTGTCTGCTCCTACCAAAGGCTTTAAGGATCTCTGCTAGCATAGTGGTTACGAAACGGGCTGTAACCTCAAGGTTGGCAGTTCAAAACTACCAGCTATTCCATGGGAGAAAGATGAGGCTTTCTGCTCCTGTAAAGATTTACAGCCTTGGAAACCCTGTGCAGGGTCACTATGAGTCAGAACCGACTCCACTTAACAACAACAACAACAACCAGAGGCTTTGGGGATGGAATCCATCTTGAAGCAATACTGCATAAGTACCCAGTTAGCATGACCCTTCCTGAACTGGCCAATTCCGGGAAATTCCTTCTTTCATATGAATAAAGATGATGTCTTTTCCCACCTAAAACCTTTCAAAATCCCAACCAAGTCTTAGTTTGGGTAGTTGGGAGTCAGTGTTGCTTAGAGCCTTCCTCATTTCTTCTGGCCAGATCTTTCCTTTCAATAAATCTTTTGCTTGTGTGAAACTCTGTCTATCTAACCTGATCAATTATGGTCAGCAAAGAAAAGGACCCTTCATTGTAGGGTAGGGGTATCCCCTGAATGCTGATTACAGTGTTAGACTAACAGAAATGTAAGTAAAGAAATGGACACATTTCCTAGTTGGGGGAAAGCTAAAAAATAGGTGGCCAAAGTTTATGTTCGAGGAAGTGAAAGTTAGGGAAAAAATGGGTGCGCTGGCATATTTGAATGTTATAGCTTCAGACTGAACTGAAACTACATTTTAAATTAAGCTAAGATTTTTTTTTGTCTAAATTACTGCTCAAATAACAAAGAAGGAAAAAATCAGAA